ATGGCACAAACTACAATAGTCATTTCAGCAGGGTTCAAGTTTCATCAAAAGACTATTCCTTGAATAGTCTATTAGAGTAGGTAAGTGTCTGACATTCCGTTTTGATCACACAGAAATCTCTCCTTTGTGACACTGTAGTGTCAAATGAAAACAGCAGGTTATAAAGAATCACAATCCCATTGACATAAAATTATCAATGCACATAGAGATATCTGAAGAATGATCATCTAATATCCATAGTGGAAATATCTGGGCAGTGGGAATTTGGATAGTTTTACTTTCAACTGTATGATTTTCTGTGCGATTTTTCAATCAAAATAAAACTCAGAACCCAGACTGCTGGATTCAATTTTCAACTTTACACCTTATTAGCTCAGTGACATTGTGCAAGTTACTTAATGTCTCTGTGTCTCAGTGATCTCACCTGCAAATGGGAATAATGACAGTTTCTACCTCAAAGTGCTTTTACAAGGAGGGCTAAACGCATCAGTACGCACAGGCACTCAGAACAGTGCATGGAATACAGCAAGTCATCAGGGAACATCCGCAAGCAGGAGAAGCAGAAGCATCGCTGACGCTAAGCCAGCTATTTGCAAAAGTGACTTATCATGCTCATTAAAGGCAGCTGCAAAAGCAACTATTTCATAGCCAGAGGTAAAAAGGGAAACAAGAACCTCTCTCTGCTTAAGTTTACATAACAATACAAACAAAAAACTAGCAGATCAACTACAAGTTACACACCCGTACATCAAAAAGTGAGGTCTCTAAGTAGACATTTTTCTTTGAATGAGTCACTTCATTTGAGGAATAGGCAGGCACAGCTGACGGAGTTAAAAGAGGTGCCCCAGGCAGCTGCTTCCCATGCACAGAAGTCTGTACTCTCAATTTAGCAGAAAAATAGAAGACATTCTAATGAGGTTAGCATTTGTAGGTCAGAATATTCATCCTAATTTATTTCTTAAAACTGTTTAAAATGCATTTTTAAAGAAAATATTTTATTTAAATATTTAATATAACTTTAATTAATATTTATTTTAGCATTCTGAAGGTCTTTTAAAGCATGTATTCTAAAGCAGAATTCATAAAAGACAAGATTGATTGATTTGACCCTAACAAACAAGTTTGACCATTAGAAACCTAAAATAGAAATTAAAATATAAATAACAAATGGAGACACTATGTATAATTTAATGTTAAGAGATTCTTACAAATTACCAATGAAAAAAGTGGGTAATGCTATGATTCAATTATTAATATCAGAAATGAAATAGCTAAAAAAATATGAAAAAAGTTTAAAGTCATCAGAAAGCATATACAAATTTCTTAAAGGATTATTTTTTCTTTCTCCTTTTAGTATGTTATAATACTTACTTTGGGTAAAAGTGAAAGAACATTAACAGTGAAACACTGTGGATTCAAATACAGGTGGATCTTACAGTATTTATCAGAGACTCTGAACTAGCAATTCCACATCTACAATTTTAGATTAGGATTATGTGCATATTTTAGCATGCTTCTTTTAGCTTTATTATTATTATTATTATTATTATTATTATTTTATTTCAGTAGATTTTTGGGAAACAGGTGGTGTTTGGTTACATGAGTAAATTCTTTAGTGGTAATTTCTGAGACTTTGGTTCACTTATCACCCAAGCAGTGAATACTGTATGCAATTTGTAGTCTTTTATCCCTCACCCCCACTCCCACCCTTTCCTGCAAATCCCCAAAGTCCACTGTACCATTCTTATGCCATTGCGTCCTCATAGCTTAGCTCTCACTTATGGGTGAGAACATATGATGTTTAGCTTTTTATTCCTGAGTTACTTCACTTAGAATAATGGTCTCCAATCTCATCCAGGTTGCTGCGAATGTCATTATTTTGTTCCTTTTTATGGTTGAGTAGTATTCAGTAGTATTCTATGGTATATATATGTATTTTATTTTTTTCTTTATACAGTCATTGATTGATGGGGATTTGGGCTGGTTCCATATTTTTGCAATTGCAAATTGTGCTGCAATAAACATGGATGTGTAAGTATCTTTTCTGTGTAATGACTTCTTTTCCTTTGCATAGATGCACAGGAGTGGGATTGCTGAATCAAATAGTAGATCTACTTTTAGTTCTTTAAGGAATCTCCATACTGTTTTCCATAGTGGTTGTACTAGTTTACAATCCCATCAAGAGTGTAAAAGTGTTCCCTTTTCACCACATCCACGCCAACATCTATTATATTTTAGTATTTTGATTATGGTTGTTCTGTTCATTGGCCATTTGTATAAATTCTTTTGAGAAGTGTCTATTCATGTCCTTATCCCACATTTTGATGGGATTGTTTGTTTTGTTCTTGCTGATTTTGTTGAGTTCCATGTAGATACTGGATATTAGTCCTTTGTCAGATGTACAGACTGTGAAGATTTGCTCCCACTCGGTGGGTTGTCTGTTTACTCTACTGATTATTTCTTTTGCTGTGCAGAAACTTTTTAGTTTAATTAAGTCCCATCTATTTCTTTTTTGTTGTTGTTACATTTGCTTTTGGGTTCTTGGTCATGAAGTATTTGCCTGTCTAGAAGGGCTTCTTCAGTGTTATCTTCTAGAATTTTTATGGTTTCAGGTCTTAGATTTAAGTCTTTGATCAATCTTGGTTGATTTGTTATAGGGTAAGAGATGATAATCCAGTTTCATTCTTCTATATGTGGCTTACCAATTATCCCAGCACCATTTGTTGAATAGGATGTCCATTCCCCACTTTATATTTTTGTTTGTTTTGTCAAAGATCAGTTGACTGTAAGTATTTGACTTTATTTCTGGGTTCTCTATTCTGTTCCATTGGTTTATATGCCTATTTTTATACCAGTACCATGCTGTTTTGGTGACTATGGCCTTATAATATAGTTTAAATTAGGGTAATGTGATGCCTTCAGATTTGTTCTTTTTGCTTAGTCTTGCTTTGGCTATGTGGGCTCTTTTTTGGTTCCATATGAATTTTGGGACTGTTTTTTTCTAGTTCTGTGAAGAATGACAGTGGTATTTTGACGGGGATTGCATTGAATTTGTAGATTGCTTTTGGTAATATGTTCATTTTCACAATATTGATTCTACTCATCCATGAGCATGAGATGTGTTTCCATTTGTTTGTGTCTGTGTCTATGATTTCTCTCAGCAGTGTTTTTAAAATGTCTTAATCTACAAATATGAGAATTTTTGTTTTAAAAGGGAATTTAAATAAAATGAAAATTATATAAACTGCCACTTGATTAATTAGGAGACGATAATGAAAATTACAGATTATCCTGAATCCTGGATTCTTCCTTTTAGAGAAAGAGACAATAAACAGGTCAATAATTGAATTAAGTCCAGGAGCAGTAGCTCACACCTGTAATCCCAGCACTTTGAAAGGTCAAGGCAGGAGGGCCAATTGAGCCCAGGAGTTCAAGATCAGCCTGGACAACATAGAAAGACTTTGTCTCTACACAAAAAATTTTTAAAAATTTAGCCCAGTGTGGTGATGAGCACCTGTGGTCCCTGCTACTCAAGAGGCTGAGGTGAGAGGATCCCTTGAGCCCAGATGGCTGAGGCTGCAGTGAGCTGTTCTTGCGCCACTGCACTCCAGCCTGGGTGACAGAGCAAGACCCTGTCTCAAACAAAAAGTGAATTAAATAATATGTTAGAAGATAATAAGAACTGTGGAGAAAAGTGAAGCAGGAAGTGAGTGGAGTAGGGCAAGGAGGTGGTAACATTTTAGACAGGGAGGTAGAAAAGGTAACATTTGAGTTTGAATCAGACAAGGGAAAATTCTACCAATTTTACTGCATAATCATCAACTCTGATAATTTTGATCAGGCTAACAGCTCTTGGCTAAGACAAGGTATTGCTTATCTCTGCTTGGCTATCTGTTTCAACTTTTATATTATGGCTGACACCTGTAATCCCAGCACTTTGGGAGGCCAAGGTGGGAGGATCACTTGAGACCAGAAGTTCAAGACCAACCTGGACAACATAATGAGACCCCTGCTCTACAAAAGAAAAATAAATCAGCCAGGTGCAGTGGCTTGTGCCCAGAGTCTCAGCTACTCAGGAAGCTGAGGCAGGAGGATCCCTTGAGCCCAGGAGATCAAGGGTGCAGTGAGCCATGATTGCACCACTGCGCTCCAGCCTGGAAAGCACAATACGGTATAGCAACTTTTATAATATATGTTCTAGTTATTATGCAAGTATTCCATGATACTGTGTTAGTATTCATCCTTTCCCTTTTTCGAATCTAAAGTCATGACCTTTTAAAATATATAGTCTTCTCTGTAAGTATTTCCAGCATATAGAGAGAATTAGGAGTAAGAGAGAAGTCACCTGCTGTTTTTGATAACAAAGCATCATCCATTTGACCCATTTTTCCAGTAAGAGACTCCAGATTTTCCCGGGGGCGCTAAGCCTACCTGACTTCTAGACAACGGGGTTCAGGTGGGGCTGACAGCAGCCCCTGCCTCTAGAGGGGTCAGAGTAGTGCCAAGTCCCACCAGTAGGGGCACCAAATCCCCCAGAACACTGTACCACCCGAAGTTCAGGAGAGGCCATGGGGCCTACGGCAGGCCAGTGAGAACTCAGAGGCACTAAGGTGTATGTTACCACTTGCAGAAGAGGTGCATGCTCACCTGGTAGTTGATAAAAAGGCTGAAAGTAGGTTTAGATATGCTTTTGGGACCAGAGTGAGAATGAGTCTGCCTAAAAATGAATCGAATCAAGGGTGCAACCAGAAATGCACTAAATGGAAAGAAACGGAAATAAAGATGGGCTCCTCTCACTACACATTTGGGGGACCTGAACTCAGCTCCGCCTCACCCTAGGTACCCCCTTAGACTTTTCACATAGCTAATGAGTACATTTCCTTTTTGCTTACATCATTTCAAGCTAGGTTTCTGTCACCTGCAACCAAAGTCTTGTCTAATGCAAACAAACCAGAAGCTGATCTTTTCACTGGAAAGCCAAAAAAACAGCATCTACTCACCCGTTCCTGACCAGCAGTGTCCCAGATGAGGAACTTGTGAAGTTCATTTCCACAAGGCACAGTTTTGGTCATAAAAGATGCCCTGAAAAAGAGAGTCAACATCTTCACATTATTGCATTGTTTCTTTACAAAGATTCACGAGTCAAGTTAAATGCTACACCTCAGCAGAACCCCAAAAGGCCCTGGTCCTTGGAAACCACTAAGAGGAGAAAAGGGCTAGAAGACTCATGACACCCAAAAGAAAATATTCTGCATTTTCTGTTAGTCCACCTGGGGGCTTTGAAACAGAACAAAACAAAAGAGGCATTCAAAAGCCTGTGTTTCTGGCCAGGTGTGGTGGCTCACACCTGCAATACCAGCACTTTGGGAGGCCGAGGAGGGCGGATCACGAGGTCAGGAGTTCAAGACCAGCCTGGCCAACATGGTGAAACCCAATCTCTGCTGAAAATATAAAAATTTAGCTGGACGTGGTGGCAGGTGCCTGTAGTCCCAGCTATTCGGGAGGCTGAAGCAGGAGAATCACTTGAACCCAGGAGGTGGAGGTTGCAGTGAGCTGAGATTGCACCACTGCACTCCAGCCCGGGTGACAGTATAAGACTTTGTCTCAAAAAAATAAAGTAAAAAAAAATAATAATAATAACACAAAAATTAGTCGTGCGTGGTGGTGGGCACCTATAGTCCCAGTTACTCGGGAGGCTGAGGCAGGAGAATCACTTGAACCCAGGAGGCGTGGGCTGCAGTGAGCCAAAATATCACCACTGCACTCTGGCGTGGGTGATAGAGCAAGACTCTGTCTCAAAAACAAACAAAGAAAAGACTCTGTTTCTAAAACCAGTTAGCTTCAATTATTCAAATACCCCCAGATCTCAGAAAAGAATACAACCTTGGATTTAAAAAACTTATTACAATAATTAAGAGTGAAAATGGCAGCTTACCAGCTTACCATAAATGTTGGCATGTTATGGTTTTGGCCTTAAAATGGCACAAAAAAAATGTTGCCTTAACATATTTGCTATGCTGTTAAGAATCCAACACTAGTAGCAACTAATAGAATGCTACATCTAAGTCCCAACCTGCTTGCATAAATGGAAGGGTGAAGATTGGCAGCCTAACACATATTTATGTTTTCTCTATAAAAAAGGAAGGATTTTTTTCCTCCCTTCTGAGTCGAAAAAGAAAGGATTTTAAAGCTTCAGTAGATCATGAAACACTCAGTATTTTCTTTTTTGCATATTTCCTCTGAAAAAGCATTTTCTTTGTACACATGAAGGGTATACAAATACAAAGAATGTTCAATAGTCTTGACTTTTATGAGACAAAGTTTCCTATTCATTAAAAAACTGTAAGCATCCCCAATAGTGGGACAACCTGCTATGAGAGCCTCCTGAAGTGATGGAATAAGTAGATACATCACTTATACAGCGTTCTGACCACAAATGTTTAGTCTGAATTTAATTGTAAGAAAACAATCAGGCAAATGTAGAATGTGAAACATTCTGTAAGGCAAGCTGGCCTGAATGCTTCAAATAAGTCAATGTCAAGGACAGCTTGAGCCCAGGAGTTTGAGGCTGTAGTAAAGAGCCAATATTGCCCCAGTGCACTCCACTCTGGGTGACAGAGCGAGACCCTGTACCCCTCACCCCCCAATTTTAAGGACAATTGAAAATTTTTAAATTCATACTATATGCAAGATATTATGATTAATTCAAATTAATTTTCTAGGTATGATCATGCTGTCCTCATTATGTTCTTATTCTTAGGAGGTGAACCCTGGGGTTTTAGGGATAAAGAGTCAGGGGTTCTTTCCCTTACTTTCAAATGGTCCAGCCTGGTCCACTAGCATCATCACAGTAATATTTCCTCAGCCTCTAAATTTTCTAAGAATAAGAGGCCAAATACAGAAGTCTCAAGTAGAAAAGTCTACTGTAATTCCCACAGTATCCCCACAACAAACCAAAGGTTAATAATAGTTAGAGAGTTCTAATTGTCAACCTACAGTTGCACTAAGTTGAAATTCTAAGTATTCTAAGTGATAAGATCCAGTATTATTAAAGCCACATCTACATCTATTCCTTTATTTCTTTAAAAGTTTTTAAAATGTATATCCAGACTACTAGGTAGAGCCAATAAATTCCAAAAATATTAATATCTTTATTACTTTTCCCATTTCAAAAGCAACATATGTATTTCATTAAAAAGAAACTCAAAAAATGAAAAGGAAATAAAAACCAACCATATTTCACCACCCAGTCATAATCACTGCTAATAAATTGGTATATGTCCTTCCCAATTATTTTTATACAACTTTTAAAATGGGATTATTCATTCAGTTCTTGTTTTCCTTCTATTTTTAGCTGATAATAATCATGCATCTTATGGGATGCAGAGTGATATGTACATATATGTATGTAATGTATAATAATCAAATCAGGGTAATTAGCATATTCATCATCTTGAACATTTATCATTCCTTGGTGTCGTGAACATCCAAAATCCTGTCTTCTAGATTTTCGAAAATGTACACTAAAATATTGTAGCCATAATCATCCTACAGTGCTACAGAACACTAGAACATTTTTCTCTCATCTAGCTATAACTTTGTTAAACAAACTCTCCCTATCCTTCCCTCCCCGAACACTTACCAGCTTCTAATAACCACAATTCTACTATACTTCTACGAACATTTTTTTTTTTTTTTGCTCTCGCATATGAGTGAGAACATGCAGTATATATCTTTCTGTGCCTGGCTTATTTCACTTAACATAATGTCCTCCAGGTTCATCCATGTTGTATGAACGACAGGATTTCATTCTTTTTTATGGCTTAATAGTATTCCAGTGTACATGTATGTCACATTTTCTTTATCCATTCATTGGTTTTTGTTTTTGTTTTGTTTTTTTGAGATAGAGTCTCACTCTGCCACCCAGGCTAGAGTGCAGTGGTAAAGTCTCAGCTCACTGTGACCTCTGCCTCCCAGGTTCATGTGATTCTCCTGCCTCAGCCTCCCAAGTAGCTGAGATTACAGGCGTGTGCCACCACACCCAGCTAATTTTTGTGTTTTTCTTTAGTAGATTCGGTTTCACAATGTTGACCAGGTTGGTCTCAAACTCCTGACCTCAGGTGATCCACCCTTCTCAGCCTCCCAAAGTGCTGGGATTACAGGTGTGAGTCACTGTGCCAGCCTCCATTCATTTGTTGATGGACACTTGGGTTGATTCCGTATCTTGGCTGTTGTGAACAGTGCAGCAATAAATCTGTGAGTGTGGGTATTCCTTTGATATACTGATTCCCTCTCCTTTGCATAAATACCCTGTAGTAGAACTGCTGGACTGTAAGGCTGTCCTATTTTTAGCTTTTCTGGGAAACCTCCATGCTGTCTTCCATAATGGCTGTACTAATGCACACAGTGTTTAATTTACCAACAGAGCACAAGAATTTCCTTTTCTCTTCATTCTTTCCAGCATTTACTTTTTTTTTTTAAATTGTTAATGATAGCCATTCTAACTGGAGAGAGATGATATCTCTCTGTAGTTTTAATTTGCATTTCCCTGATAATTAGTGATGTTGAGCATTTTTCCATCTAAGTATATGGCCATTTGTATGTCTTCTTTTTAGAAACGTCCATTCAGATTCCTTGCCAATTTTAAATCATTTTACTTGGGTTTTCTTTGCTGTTGAGTTGTTTGAGTTCCTTGCATATTCTGGATTTTAGTCTCTTGTATTTCAAAGCTCAAGTTGAAAATACGTAGTAAAGTAGCCTTTTCGAGACACTTCAAATAACTGAAGAAAATATTTTATAACCTCTTCAAAGGTAACTGGCCACTGCCCAATATCCTGGTACCTTTGATAGACACCATGTTATGAGTTTTAACATGTTTTGACTTGTAATTGTTCTGCAGTGTGAAATATCGAAAGTTAATCTCAGAGAACTAAAGACTGAGTCATTCTTCATCTGACTCCTCTGATGTTCTACAGTTTTGATCCTTGGGTGACAGCCTCAGCAGGCACATTACATTTCTCTGGTTTCATTAAAAATGCTTATTTCCATGCTTAGTGAGTGTAAATCTGTATAAAGCCTCTGCTACATACATTACGATTATATAATTTTTCTTTAGTATGGACTCTCTGATGTCAATTAATGCTTGAACTCATGATGAAGGGTTTGCCATACTCATTGTGTTTGTAAGGATTCTCCCAAGAATGAATTATTGGATGTTGTGGGAGAAGTGAATTGTGCATGAAGACCTTGCCACACTCATTTCATTTGTAAGGCTTCTCTCCAGTATGGATCACCTGATGGTAAGTACTGACTGCACATTGAAGGCTTTGCCATGCTCATTACACTTGTAAGATTCATCTCCGGTACGAATTCACCAATGTCTTGTAAGATGTGAATTGTGACCGAAAACCTTGTCACATTCATTACATTTGTAGAGTTTCTCTCCAGTATAAACTCTCTCCAGTGATGTGCAAGGTTTATTTTTGACTAATAACCTTGCTACATAAATCACATGTATGTCATTTCTCTCTGGAATGGGTTATCTAATATACAGCATAGAGTGAGTCATATAATTAAAGGTTTTGCCACACTCATTACACTTGTAAGGTTTTTCCTAATGTGTGCTTTCTGTTCTTGTATAAGGAAAAATAGATTATGTTAAGTCCCATATTTGTTAGAAATATGGATTTGGGTTTAGAAGGAATTCTTTGGAGTGGTGAAACTGAGGGACCATTGCTGATAGACTTTTCAACTTGATGACATTCATAAATTTTGTCTTTGGCTTCAAATAGCTGCATTTCAGGTGGATATGACTGAAAGCTTAATCCAAGCTGATTTTTAGTGCCTGCATCCCTTCTACCATGTTTGTCTCTTCTACTAGTGAGATTTTTTTAGGCACTCTGGTAATGCTTTCACTTCTCCACTGACACTCAAAGTACCGTCTATTTTTCTGGATTTCCCTGAAGTAAAAGTTTCCAACGTCGTGACTTCGTGTCTTTCCAATGACAGTGTGTGGAGTATTTCTCCTGTATTACTTTTCTTTTTGGAAAATAGTTCCTTGATTGCACATTTACTAAAGATAT